ATGCAAAACCTTTAAAATTTTAGGTAATCATAATTGTCTTCTACCTTTTTGTGATCCTCTCTATCTTTTGTTTGGTTTTGAACTCCTCTCCTATTAATAATTTCTTCCTTCTCTTTTTCTACTTTTTATATGATATATAAGCTACATGGTGCAGTGGATAGAGCACTGGGTCTAGATCAGAAAGACCTGAGTTCAAATCCTGCCTTAGATACTTGCTAGCTGTGTGACCCAGGGCAAGTCATGTAACCTTTGTTTGACTCAGTTTCTTCAATGATAAATTGAGGATAATAATAGGACTTACCTCTTAGGACTGTTGGAATTATCAAATGAGATAATATTTGTAAAGTACTTAGTACGGTTCCTGGCACATAGTAGGTGCTTAATAAATGCTTCTTTCCTTCTTTCCTAAATAATGTACCTGTTTAGAGCTTATCTTGGTACACAGTTAGCTGTTTTTCTATACCAAATTTCTGCTATACTCCTTTCTAGTTTTTTAAATAGTTTTTGTTGAAGAGTGAGTTCTTACTTCAGTGTTGTTGTTCACTTGTTTTCAGTCTTGTCTGACTCTTTGTGACCCTATTTGGGATTTTCTTGGCAAAGGTACTACAGTGGTTTGTAGTTTCTTCTCCACTTCATTTTATAGATGAGAAAACTGAGGCAAATGGAGTTAAGTGACTTGCCCAGGTTCACACACCTAGGCCAGATTTGAACTCAGGAAGATGAATTTTCCTGACTCCAGGCCTGGTACTCTATCCACTGTATCACTGAGCTGCCCTCTTACTTCAATAGCTGGGATATTTGATATTTTCATTTCTTCTCAACCCTTCTGCAACTCCTCCCTCACGTGAAGGGGAGCTGAGAACCTTGAGTCATATTTCATTGAAAAAAATGGAGACCTTTCATAGAAAGCTCCCTCTTCTCTGCAGTTCCTCATCCCACATCACTCAGATGCTTTTTGCCACAATCTTCTCAGTTTTACCCCTGTTTCACATGAAGAAGTAATCCTTCTTGCCAAGTCAGACCCCTCTGCATGCACAAGGGATCCTATGCCATACTCTCTTCTCCAGCAGATTGCCCCTGCTGTGATCCTTATTTTCTCACTAATATTCAGTCTTTCCCTGACTACCAGTTACTTCCTTATTGATCTATCCATATCTGCTGGCTGTTGTCTCATTTCTCTCCTCTCTTTTGTGACTGAACTGCTTGAGAAGACTGTCTTGTAATAAGTGCCACTGTTTCCTTTCCTTTTCACCTTCTTCTTGTCTCTTGTCTTCTGACCTCATATTCACCTGAAACTACTTTCTCTAAAGTTATCAGTGATCTCTTAATTGCCAAATCTAGTGGTAGTTTCTCAATTCTTATCCTTCTTGACTTCTCTGCAATCTTTGACCTATGTGATCATTCTTCTCCTTAATGATTTTTTGCCTTTTGGTTTGGATGACACTGCTTTTCTAGTTCTTTTCCTGTATGATGCTTCTCTATCTCCTTTCCTGGATCTTCATCCACTTCATGCCTGCTAAGTATGAAGGTCCACCAAAGCTCTATCCTAGGCCCTTTTATACTATTTCACTCGGTGATCTCATCAGCTCTCATGGTTTCAGTTATGCCAGAGGTGTTAATCTTGCTGCAAAACTGTGGAGTACCAGGTTAAAATGTAATTGGAAAATGTTTAACAAAATAAAAATATAGTAAAGCATAGATAATGTTAATTTGTGGTTTTCTAAATCAGTATGTAGCTTGCCGGGATCAGTTGCTATTTGAGTTTTACACCACTGATGCAGATGACTCTCAGATGTTTTTATCCAGCCCTGATCTCTCTTGACACTTCCTTTTAGATACCTTGAACTGGATGTCCCGTAGACATTTTAAATTCAGCATGTACAGAACTAACTTACTATTTTTTCTTCAAAGCCTCCCTTCTTCCTGACTTCTCCATTACTATAAAGGGTAACACCATCCTTCCAGTTACTAGGCAGTTTGGGTGAAATTGTTTACTCCTTGCAATCTGGGTGTCTTCCTTGACACTCTAGCCCTCTGTATCCAATTAGTTATCAAGTTTTGTTGTTTCTAGCTTAGAAATATCTCTTGGATATGGCTTCTTCTCTCCTTTAACACTGCCACTCCCCTAGAGCAGGTCCTCCTTGCCTCCTGGACTGGTCTTCTTGGCTCAAAATCCCCCATACCAAATCCATCTCTTTAACTCATTTGCCAAAGTGATCTTCTTAAAATGCAGGTCTGGAATTACCATACCCTCTTCCTTCAAAAAACTCTAATGGCTCCAGTGATTATCTCCAGGACCAAATATAAATTCTTTCTTTGATTTTTAAAGCCTTTCATATTCTGGTCTCTTTCTACCTTCTTACACTTTACTTCCTTCCATGTAGTAACACTGGCTCTTACTCACATAGGACACCCCATCTCCTGTCTCTGGGCATTTTCACTGGCTGCCCCTCATGCCTGAAATGCTCTTCCTCCTCACTCCAAGCTCATGGCCCTGCCTTCCTTCAAGTCTCAGCTAAAGTCCCACCTTCCTTACATAAGATGCCTTTCTCCATTCTCCTTAACTTTAACACGTTTGCTCTGAGACTACCCTCGGTTTATCCTACTGTATCTTGTTTTTACATAGTTGTTTGCATGTTGTTTTTCCCATTAGATTGTAAATTACTTGAGAGCAGGGACTATTTTTTGGCTTTCTTTGCAACCTTAGTGCCTAGCGCAGTGCATAGAAGACAACAGTTAGTAAAGGATGGTTGGTTGTTGTCCTTCGTTCTTGAAGAGGACCAAAAAGACATCACTGTAGAGTCAGATTACAGCATGTCTGACTGTGGCTGAGACCAGTATGAGCTCAGAATGCTCTCCTGCAGGTTGGACACAAATTGTCCATGTGAACATTTGGAGTGGAGTCTCTAAATCTGCTCATCTCCTGTTTCTTTTGAACTGCTTCAATTCTGCTTTGCTCATAGAGCACATTATTTTCATAGTTGACTGTCCTGCTTTTCTATTTTCATTCTTTGACACATATTCTCCTCTTTGGCATCTCGGAAATCAATTCCTGAGTGCTTTAAAAACTTTTTTTGTCTGAAACACAGATTTTTTCCCTATGTACTGTTTTAATTTCATCTTTTGTTACATTGGGTGTTGATTGGCATTTCCAGTATTGCCACTGGTGAGAATGAATAGATTGTCCTCGAATACTGGCAGATCTATTCCATTTCATGTCTCTGTTTTTGTTTAAGTTTAATTCTTCAGGATAGTCTACATCAGCTGTGTCTTTAGCTAAGTTCTCTGCAGACTCATTTGCTGCCTTTTCCCCTCTCTCTTCTGTAGCAGTACTGCATGTAATCTTTTGCAATTGTGTTTTGCAAATGAGCTTGCACTCTAAGGCTGCCTTTTATTTTGTCAAGGAGATCAAATATTTCCTTGCTGGAATGGTTTCTGACCACTTTCTGCTGCCTCATTGTGGTAATTGGTTAAACTTCTCCAAGCAATGTCTTTACTTTGTTCATTTCCATTTTTTGGCAATTTGTTTAAATGAGCTGGCTTCAGTAATAGCAAACGGTATTCTTTCCTCTTCTTGATCTTGTACACACAGGATCCTTTTCTTATCTTTTAATTAGGTATTGATTTTGACCTTTGCTCTAAGCAGTGGATGATCTGATTGCATACAGACCTTTGATTCTGAAAGGACTACTATATTGCTAAATTTTTATGATGTTCCTGCAGTAAAAAGCCTTGGATAGTATAGAACAGCTAGATGAAAGACAGGAAGATCTGGGTTCTTCTAGTTCCCCTCTGACATACTGGGGGGAGGGGAAGGGGACTTTACTTGTGAGCACCTCATGCAGCTTCCTACAATTATAAATTAGACACCGGTTGCCCTTGTACTTTGGTAGATGATGTTCCCTTTGTGGAAACTACTCACATCCATGAAAGCATAGGTCCAGACCTAAAAAAAAAAAGACTTAGAAAAATGATCTGTTTTATCTATTTTTTTAAGAAAACAGATTGATCAGGTCAGAACAGCAAGTAGATTAATTCCTTGAGGCCTAGGTTAGGCAACTAGATAAGGCTGAGTAATGTCTTTGGGAGGTGCATTCAGGGAATCATTCAATTTCCATGATTTCTCGCTCCAAATCTAACCCTGTTGAGCTTCTTCCCTAGGTAGTAGGTGTAACCATCAGAGTTAGGCATTAATAAGTAGGGGAAGCGAGGAGAGTTCCCTCATTCTTTTTGGAGAGATGAATTTGGGACATGGAGAGGTAGGTAGCAGGGTGCTCTTAGCATCCCAAATTGGAATTTGGAATTCATTTTCCCATAGAAACATCTGTTGCACATGGTATTTAGAGTTATATTGTTATTACAGTCTTATAGTATTTATTGTAGTATAGCCAAACTTTTTGGTCTCAGGTCACCTTTACATTTAAAAAAAGAATTGAGAACCTTAGCCAAAGAGATTTTGTTTATATGTGGGTTATGTTAATGGTATTTACCACATTTGGAATTAAATGTCATAGCATTATTATGAAAATAGTTTTGAACTTCTGGCTATATCCCCTGAAAGGTTCTCAGAGATTCCCCAGGGGTCCCCAGCCCACACTTTAAGAATTACTGGTCTAGTATATTCCAGAGAACAACCACATAGAAAACTTTTCTTCCTTCTTTCCCCTTCCCCCATATCTTCCTCCCCCTCCAGTGTGTGTGAAGTGAGAAGCAACTGTCTTACCAATGATCTTTTGGAGTGTAACCTGATTTGTAAATTGGGGACTGATCTGTTGTAATACCTCCAAAAGTTGAATAGGTTAATAAATTAAGTGAGTCCTAGAATAACATCAGTGGGAGTTTCATAGTGAATTTAAAGGTAGTGTTTTATTTTTAAAGTTGATGGATGCAAGGAGAAAATAGTTAATTGTTCCTCTGTAACTGACACATTATTTGTTTCTTACTTGGTTTTGTCTAGGTTGATGCATTTTCTATAATGTTTGAAAATATTCTTTCCCTAGGTAATTTCTTTTCTGGCTGCAGTACTGTAAAAAAGGCACACGAGAGGATATTGAAAATAATATGCCAGAGTTTTTGTTAAAGAATATGAAAAAGGAATCTTCCACTTGTACTCCAAAGAAGGTAAAATGTACAGAAATCCTTAATTCATTGATAACTGTCTTCATAAAATAGTCAACATAAGTTTTAATATTTACAACTAGTTAGATTATTTTGAAAACAGCATTTTAAGGAAAGAATCAAAACATTTATTTCATAGACTTTAGCTATCTATGATCTACCAAATATGGCCTAATTTTAAGGAAGACAATATGTTTTTAAGGTATGTTGTTATTTTAAAAAATATTCATGTACTAGGTTGGTATTGACAATTATGTGTATGTTGTCAAAGTATAGGTTAATATAAGATGTACCCACTAAAGAATATTTGAGCATTTGACCATTGTGTAGGTGTGTTTTGTGAATGAAAGGAAGAAAATTAGTTATATTTTCTTTGTACTATTATTATTTTAAAGTATTTCTGAAATTCTTTATTTCCAAATATATTCCTCTTCCTTCTCCTCCCTAGCCTTTCATATTTTATAATAAAGAATAAAAAAAGAAAGAGGAATGAAAAGCAGTTCAGCAAAAATATCTAATTCACCTGCTGAATTTGATAAGCAATATTCCACATCCTTAAAGAAAGGGGAGAGGTTCTTTTTCTTATCTTTACTTCAGGGTTAAGCTTAGTTATGATTGCAATGTTCAGTTCTATTTTTCTTTCCATTTACATTATTGTCGTCATTGTGTATGGTTTTTCTTCACTTTGCATCAGTTCATGTAAATCTTGCTAAGATTTTCTGAAATTCTTTGTATTCATTATTTCTTTTCTATATCTTTTTTTTTTTTGGTGAAGTAATTGTGGTTAAGTGACTTTCTCAGAGTCTTGCGACTAGTAAGTATTATGTGTCTGAGGCCGAATATCAACTCATGTCCTCCTGACTTCAGGGCCAGTGCTCTGTGCACTGCGCCACCTAGCTGCCCCCACATATTCATTATTTTTTATGGTGTGCCATTAGTTCGTGTACCACAATTTGTTTAACTATCAGTTATATTTTCATATGACATTAGGTTGTAGATATTGTTCATGTAGATGATTTCATGATATTAAAACTGAGTCAATAAACTATGTGTAGTAAATATTTGATAGCAAATTCTAATGCAGAGAGCATTGAAAAAGCTATAAGGACAACCATTCTAGGCTCTAAATTGTTACTGCCTATAATACTTTAGGTTCTGGGTACGGCATTTAAGGACATCATTATCAACGAAGGGCACATAGGAAGGTAATCAAATGGTGAAGGATCTTGACATCATGCCCATTAATGAGTGGGTTAGATTCAAATACATAGAGAGGAAAAAGGAGGATATGTCATAAGGGGGTAACAGAGTAAGCAAATGTACTGAGATTTTTGGCAAAAAATCTTTGTTATCACATATCTCTGATATAGATAATCTCTGATACGGATATACATACACATAAGCACAGACATCATATATATGCATAATTACACATGCACGTACAGATGGGTATATATGGAACTAACACAAACATATAAGACCAAAAACCATTCCTTGAAGGGTAAGTGGCTAAATAAAGGATATGAACAAATAGTTATCAAAAAAATTACAAACTGTTAGCCATATGGAATATTGCTATAGATCACTGATAATAAGAATAATGCAAATCAAAAAAAATTCCAAAGTTTCACCTCAAATCCAGGAAATTGCCAAGATGACAAAAGATAGGAATAGTCAGTGTTAGTGTGGTTGTAGAAAAATACATTCTTGATATGAATTGGTCCAAACATTTTGGAAAATTGTTTGGAATTATGTGAAGAAAATGAGTAAAGTATCCATATCCTTTGAACCAGAGATCTGACTACTAGAAAGATCAGTGATAAAAAGAACAGTCTCATATATACCAAATTACTTATGGTAGCACTTTTTGTATTTGCAAAGAATTGGAAACAAAGTAGGAGTCCATTGATTGGGAAATGTTTCAACAAATACACAAGAAGTTAATTTTATGGAATATTGCTGTACTATTGAGTACAAAGAATAGAGAAATGTTTGGACTTATGCAAAGTGAAGTAAACAGAATGAGGGAAGCAATATATATATATAATGACTACAAACATGTAAATGGAAGAACAGCAATAACAAGACAATTAAAAGTGAATGGGCTATAATTATAATAGCCAAGACTGACCCTCAGAAGAGAAATGAGAATCCCTATCTCTTGTATTTTTGCAAAGGCATAGTAATAGGAATCTATAATACTGCATGTGGTGTTGGTTGATGTATTAGTTTTTCTGAACCATTTTATCCTTTCTTTGAATTCTTTGCTAGAAGAGTTAGGTTTCTGGGGTGGGAGCTATATATATGGGAGATTATGGTGTTATAAAAACAAATGATATCACTAAAATTTTTAAATGGTGTGTTTGCCTCTGTAACATTTAGAAATAAGAAGTGTGGTTTTATCAGCCTGTACGAATCAATTACTTTTGCTTTGTTAAAAAAAATTAGATCGTATATTTATGCAGCAGGTATAGTTATAAAGACATTCTGAAAAATTAACTTTAGGGCTCCTTATAAACAAAATCATTCTTGCAATAAATTGAACATTATAAATTAAGGAATGGTGGTTTAGAGTATGTGTGTATGAGATATGATACATCTCTGTGCACATTTGAGAACTTTTCAAGTGTGAATAAATCATCTGAGAATGTATAAAATAGATGTTTTGTGCCAAGAATAAATTCCTAAAGTAAAAAGACATGAAGTATGCCTTTCACATATTGATACTTGGAAAAGCTCCTAAATTTGAGGCCCTTCATTTTGGGATGGGGTTCAGTGGTCATGAAAATGAAACATAGTAAATTCATTTAAAAATCCTCATTTGTGTCTTAAATGTCAATCCCTTAAGGATTTCAAGCATGTTTTTCAGCAATAAAGTGGAGGAAGACTGGTTTCACACTGTTGAGGGAAGGCAAGTAGCATATGTAGGAATGCAAGCCATGGTTGAAAAGAAATCTTTTAAAAATATTTGGTATAAAATTTTTGTTAATTGAAAATTCTAAATGGAGCTCCCTGTATTCTTAATACCAGAGTAAAAGTTGCCAGTTATGCATTACTCTCCCTGAAATGAGAAAATTAACAACATTGACTCTATTTTAAGTTTGTTGGTGTAATAAAAGTGAATATGAGTATAAGTGCAATATTGTAGACTTCTCAGAAACAGAAAGTAAGCAAGCAAGATTTTAATCAGTCTACACTTTTATCTCCTAAAGATACCCTTCTGACTTTCCAAACTTAATTCTATACTTCCTAGACAAATTTGTACTTCTAAGTACAATCACTGCCCTATTTTGTTCCTGCACATTTAATCATTTTGGTACTGTCATCTGAATAGGGGTGGGGAACCTATGTTTTGGAGGCCACATATGGCCCGCCAGGTTCTCAAGTGTGGCCCTTTGACTGAATCCGAACTTCACAGAACAAATCCCTTTAATAAAAGGATTTGTTTGGTAAAACTTGGACTCAGTCAAAAGACTGCCCCTCAAGGACCTAGGAGGCCACATGTGGCCTTGAGGCCACAGGGTCTCCGTCCCTGATTCTGACAGTCCTCTTTTTTTCATTTTGTTTATCCAGATATTATTCATTTATCATCAATTCCCATTTTTTTATGATGGCTCTAACTCACAAATTTATCACTTTCCTAAAGACTCATAACACTTAATTTTGTGTTCCATAACCTATTATTTACAAATTTTCTTGTGAAGTCTTGTTTATTAATAGTAGCTAACAGTCTTGTATTACTTTGTGGATTTCAGAGCACTTTATGTACATTTTTTCATTAGATCCTTTTAACAACTGTGTGAGGTAGATACTTAAAGCTATTCTTATTATTTTATAGATTTGGAAATGGACTTAAAAAGGTTAATTAAGTTGTCCACAGTCACACGGCTAATGTGCCAGTGGCAATATCTGAATTCAGGTTCCTCTTCTGATGCCACATCTAACACTCTTTCAGCTACTCCATGTTCCCTCTCATATCATTATTCATTTCTTGCATTATTTTAAACTTTTCATCCACATATATCATGGATTTTCTGTGTGTCCCTGATAGTGACTAGGATGTAGCACAGTGCTATGCATATAATTAGTATCTAAGAAATATTTCATAGAATAATAAAGTTTAGAGTTGGAAGGGATCTTTGAGATCTCTTATTGTAAAGATAAGGAAATTGAGACCAAAATAACAATATAAAATTCATACATTTAGTCTTCCCTGGACCTAAAATGATGCTAATTTTGCAAAACTTTCCTAGGAGATACACATATACTAAACACATTGAACTTTTCTAATCAAGATACCTTTTTCAATGCATATCATTCATGTCATTGTGCCAGTTAATGTAGACCTTCTAATTCTGGGATTCATGGACTCCTAAGGGGTCTGTGCATAGACTTCAGTGGGTATATGACCTTGGATGGGAAAAAATGATGTATATATACATACACACACATATGTATATATATACACACACACACATACATACATATATATGTTCATTTATATCTAAGTGAAATTTAGTATTTCATTCAGTTGTGAAGGAAGGCAACAAAGGTTATTCTGAGAACAGGTCCAAAGTCTTCATCGGACTGTCCCACTGATCCACAACACAAAAAAGGTTAAAGACCCCTGTATGAATGCTGGATTGTAACTAAAAGAGTATTTCTCTCTGAAGACCTAGGCCAGCTTTCATTTAAATATAATATGGTTTAAAGAAAATTAGGTGATGTTTAATTAGCATTCTTTGTAAGCTTTGGTTCCAGTATAAGGGTCATTGTTTTTTGCTTGATGGGATTTTAATTTTGTTTATAAGTCATTTTAAGCAATGCATATTTTAATAAATTAATATTTGAAGGCAACTCCAACTTTTTAAAAAATCACTCCACTGGTATTGAGTTGGGAAAGACCACCAAAATTGCTCAGTGAGTAACTGATGCAACATTCATATGTGTGCTTTCCATTTTACTCTTTGGTATCATTTACTTAAAAAAAATTTTAAAAATTA